CCCAAAAACGACCGATACACCCCACCTCGCCCCCCACCTCGCCTCCACCCCCCCACCCCTTCCCCTTGACCATATCCAAGCCTCTGGGTTCTTTCTGGAACCCCGCCTCAAGATTTCTCGCCCAAAAACGACCGATACCACCCACCTCGCCTCCACCCCCCCTCGACATCCTCAGGCTCCCGGGCTCTGTTCTTGAGACCCCCGACCCCACGATTTCTCGCCCAAAAACGATCAATACCCCCCCATCGCCCCCCACCTCGCCTCCACCCGACCCTCGACATCCCCAGGCCTCTGGGCTCTGTGCTTGGGACTTCCGACCCCGCGATGTCTCGCCCCAAAACGACCCATATCCCCCACCTCGCCTCCACCCCCCCTCGACATCCCCAGGCGTCTGGGCTCTGTTCTTGGGGCCCCCGACCCCACGATTTCTTGCCCAACAACGACCGATGCCCCCCACCTCGCCCCCCACCTCGCCTCCACCCCCCCTCGACATCCCCAGGCCTCTGGGCTCTGTTCTTCGGACCCCCGACCCCGCGATTTCTCGCCCAAAAACGACCGATACCACCCACCTCGCCTGCCGCCTGGCCTCCACCCCCTCTCGACATCCCCAAGCTTCCCGGCTCTGTTCTTGGGATCCCCGACCCCTACGATTTCTCGCCCAAAACAAACCGATACCCTCCACCTCGCCCCTCGCCTCGTCTCCGCCCCCCCTCGACATCCCCCGGCCTCTGAGCTCTGTTCTTGCGACCCCCGACCCCGCGATTTCTCGCCCGATAACGACCGATACCTCCCACCCCGTTCCCCCACCTGGCTTCCCCCTCCCCCCCCCCTCGACTTCCCAGGCCTCTGGGCTCTGTTCTTGAGACCCCCGACCCCACGATTTCTCGCCCAAAAACAACCGATACCTCCCGCCTCGCACCACATCACCCCACCCCCCGCCCTGGACATTCCCAGGCCTCTGCTTTGGGCTCTGTTCTTGGGACCCCCGACCCCGCGATTTCTCGCCCAAAAACGTCCGACACTCCCCACCTCGCCCCCCACCTCGCCTCTCCCCCCCCCCCCCTCCCCTCCCTTGACAATCTCCAAGCCTCTGGGTTCTGTTCTTGGACCCCCGACCACGCGATTTCCTTGCCCAAAAACGAACGATGCACCCACCCCCCCCCCCCCCACTAAACCCACGCCCCCCACTCACGCACAAGTCTCGCAACCCAAATCCTCTGTGACGTGCGTAAAAGCCAACGGTAAGAAAGCGGAAGATACAGGCCTGGGCGACGTACGGAAGCTTCGGGGCTTTTTTTTTTTATTGGGCCCTTTGGGCTCTCTCTCTCTCCTCTCTCTCTCACACTCTCTCTATCTCTCTCTCTCTCTCTCTCTCTCTCTCTCTCTCTCTCTCTCTCTCTCTCTCTTTTTCTCTCTCTGCGGTCATCAACGACTCTGCGACAACTTGTGAAGATGAGTCGTGCAGGCCACAAGCCGCTAGGCAGGCGTTTGTGTTTCGTACGCGTCCTCTGGGAGCACCCTTGCGATTTTGGAGAAAACCAGCACTTGCCGCAGCAGCTGCCGCCACTCCGCTCGAGTACGTTCCGTATCATGCCACTGCTCCTCCTTCTGCTCCTGGAACTCCTCCTCCTCCGACTCATGCGTCTGGCCCTCGTCCTCCCTCCTACTCATCAACCCTCCCGTTTCCCAGACTTACACGCGAACCACCCATGCCTACTCCCACACCTGCACCGATACCGACACGATGTTCAATTGCTACCCATGCCCATGCCTATCATACTAGCCCTTCCTCCTGCTCTTCCTACTTACCCCTCCTCCTTCTACACCAGCTGCCCCAGCCGCCTTGCATATGCACTTGGTGCAAGGGGCGCCATCGAGTGCCGCATGGATCTACATTTAATCAATAGCGCGTGAGCATGCCTTGAACCGAGAGAGAGAGAGAGGAAGATGAGCGGCAGTGGCAGCAGGAGAGCGTAGTCGCCCCGTCCGATCCTGTCCTTCAGTGATAAAGACGAGCTCGGACGGCCGAGAACGTAATCAATCGCCAGCGGCCAACACCGTCCAGTCTGCAGAGTTCGAATCCAAACGGAAGGTGGTCCTACGTAGTTGGCAGACCCCTCTCGAAGGATCGTTCAAGCTAGCTCGAAATGGCGAAAGAACGGCTCTGACATTCATCAAACAATCCGCCGACCCCTTGTGGGTCTGTAGGCGTGTGGGATGATTCCCCCCCAGAATCCCCTCCCCCCCGGGACAACAATCCCGCATTTGGAACTCCTCCCCCCCGGGCCCAGCCCGGTCCCCCCACGAACTTACCCGAGGGGGTCTGGGCTCCCCGGGCCCGCTCTCCAGCTCCAAAACAAGCCATGAGCCCTCCCAAGACACCCCCAAAACGGTCCAAGGGGCCTGACGCCCCAAGAGGCCGCCTAAACGCCCCAAGAGGCCTCCAAAAGGCCCCAAGAGGCCTCCAAAACGCCCTAAGCGACCTCCAAGACGCCCCAAGAAACCTCCAAGAGGCCTCCAAAGAAGGCCTCAAGAGGCCAAAATCGTTGATGTCCATTGGTTGTTTTCAATGTTTTGGGCATTTTCGCCTTTTCGGCTTTCCGACGCTCCAAGACCGCCCAAGAAGCACCCAAGACCGCTCCAAGACGGTCCAAGAAGCCTTCCACGACGCCCCCAACACGGCCCAGGAAAGCCCCCAGACGGCCCAAAAGAACTATCCAGACGGCCCAAGAGCCGCCCAAGACGGCGCAGGAGGCTCCTGAACGTTTCCCAGACCTCCAAGACGCCCCAAGAGGCCGCCGAGACGCCCCAAGAGGCCTCCAAGAGGCCCCAAGAAGCCTCCAAGACGCCCCAAGAGGCTTCCAAAACGCCCCAAGAGACCACCAACAGGCCTCCAAACAAGGCCCCAAGAAGCCAACATCGTTCATTTTCATTGGTTCTTTCGATGTTTTGGGCGTTTTCGCCTGTTCGGCTTTCCGACGCTCCAAGACCGCCCAAGAAGCTCCAAAGAAGACGGCCCCCATACGGCCCAAAAGGTTTATCCAGACGGCCCAAAAACCACCCAAAACGGCCCAAGAGGCTCCTTGACGCCTCCCAGACGGGCCAAGAGGCCTCCAAAACGCCCCAAGAGGCCGCCTGACGTCTCAAAAGGCTTCCAAGAAGCCCCAAGAAGTCTCCAAGACGCCCCAAGAGACCTCCAAAACACTTCAAAAGACCTCCCAGAGGCCTCCAAAGAGAGCCCCAAGAAGCCAAAGTCGTTGATTTTCATTGTTTTGTCAATGTTTTTGGCATTTTCGCCTTTTCGCCTTTCCGACGCTCCAAGAACGCCCAAGAAGCTCCAAAAACGAGGGCCCCCAAACGGCCCAAAAGGCCTATCCAGACGGCCCAAGAGCCGCCCGAGACGGCCCAAGAGGCTCCTTGACGCCTCCCAGACCTCCAAGACGCCCCAAGAGGCCGCCTAAACGCCCCAAGAGGCCTCCAAGAGGCCCCAAAAGGCCTCCAAGACGCCCCCAGAGACCTCCAAGACGCACCAAGAGACCTCCAAGAGGCCTCCAAAGAGGGCCCCAAGAGGCCAAAATCGTTGTTTTCTCATTAATTTTTCAATGTTTTTGGCATTTTCGCCTGTTCGGCTTTCCGACGCTCCAAGACCGCCCAAGAAGCTCCCAAGACCGCTCCAAAACGGACACAAAACCTTCCACGACGCCCCCAAGACGGCCCAAGAGAGCTCCCAGACCGCCAAAAAAGGCTCCCAGACGGCCCAAGAGCCGCCCAAGACGGCCCAAGAGGATCCTTGACGCCTCCCAGACGGTCGAAGAGGCCTCGAAGACGCCCCAAGAGGCCGCCGAGACGCCCCAAGAGGCCGCCGAGAGAAGTTTTAAGGCAAGGGATTCGGGGGCTCCGACAAGGGGAGGGCTTACTCGAGCCCAGCCTTTTCTCTGCTCGATTGTCCCCCGAACCAGCCCAGAGCAGGGCCCGAATAAGCCCCCAAGGAGCATCCCAAAGAAGCCCCGACCAAGCCCACAGGTGGTCCCTCAAGCCCCTTTGAGCGTAGGTGGTTTCGAGAGATTCCTTTGGCAACCGCCCGCTTCCCCTTCGGGGACGAGTTTAGCCCTTCGGCGCGCGTCGCGAGGGACGGGGCGCCTAAGAGGACCCAACATGGCTCCAAGAGGGCCTCAGCGAGCCCAAGATGAACCCCAGCCCGGGATGACGTCCAAGATGGCTCAAGGAAACACAACATGGCTCAAGATAGCAAACGAAAGCCTCCGACAGACTCCCAGATCGCATGACGACAGGCTTCTGCGACCTCAAGACGGCTCCAAGAAGGCCCAAGATTCCTCCTGAACTCCGTCGGCGTGTGAAATGATGCCACCTCAGCAACCCCTTCCCCCAGGAGCCCAGTACGAGGGATTTGGGAGAGGGAGGTCTCCCCCCAACCGACGCAACGCACAAACAATACATGCATTTATTTGGGGTCGGCGGCAGAGGCGGCAGCCTTTAAATAAAAACGAAGCTGCGAACAAGGAGGAGCTGAACCAAGCTGCATACCGAATTGGACTGGATCGTCACTTCAACCCCCATTCCCGCCACCTTTGACAATTAGAGCTCTCCGGAACCATCGCGCCCAATACGGCCCCGAGACCCTCCGCTTCCCCCGCGATGGGCCCCATCAGGCCCCCAAGGGGCCACCAACAGGCACCCAAGAGGTCCCCAAGAGCAACACCCGAAGAAGCCTTCAAGAAACCACCAGGAGAAAGGACGAAGGACGAGGAGAAAACGGCTGCACCTGTCATCTCATATCCACTCTCCACAACTCCCCCGACCACAACACACCTCTTGCCCATCTCCCGTCTGTTCCTTATCATCCTCCTCCTCCGCATCATCCTCCTACCACATTGTCATTCAGAGGTCGGCGGAATGGCGCAAGCCATTTGAAGAACGGCCTCATGAGACCATGGGATGGGGCCCAGCAACCTGCGATGACGAGGTCATCGTGCAGAAGCTCACCGCCCACCCAGCTTGCCGCTGATTGCCGAGCCATCCCAGCGCCATTGGTCCCTGGACGGCACGTAGCTCTTCAGCCAGCACTCGTGGCTGCCTTTGATAAAAGTCCACGCCACGCATCCCGAATGCGCGCCGCAGTGGTTGCAGCACGCCTGAGGGTCCTGGGACCAAGGGGCCTGCATCATGTTGTCCCCGCCGCTGTTCTCGTCGTCCTCCCAACTGCACTTGGTGTCTGGGCCACGCACGAGGCTGCTGACTGCCGAATCGTCCCAGCGCCATTGGTCACTGGGCGGCACGTAGCTCTTCAGCCAGCACTCGTGGCTCCCCTTGATAAATGTCCACGCCACACAATCCGAGTGCTCGTTGCAGCGGGCACAGCACGCGTCTGGGCCCTGCGACCAGGGGGCCTGCATCAGGTTACGGCCGCCGCTGTTCTTGCGCTCCGTCCAGGCGCACTGCCCCCCCAGCGCCTCGCCCAGGAATGGCGCCCCGCTGGAGTTCGGAAGGCCAACGCCCGCAGCCTCCGCCAAAGAGCGGTTCGATCGCAGGGCGGCCCCAGGTGTGCAAACACCAGCGCCGTCGCAATACTGCCCCGGCGGGCAGGACTGCCCCGCAGCGCAGGTCCGGAAGCAGCCACACTGAGGCGGGTTGGTGCACATGTTCCCGCCAGGGCAAGTCTGTCCGGCCGAGCAGGCGGTGGTGGCCCACCCCGGCTGGCCAGGGCATGGCTCCCACCCCTCCTTCACCGTCACGATGCTGGCGCCACTCCCCTCCGAAGACTGGTTCGATCGCAGGGCGGCCCCAGGCGTGCAAACACTGGCGCCGTCGCAGTACTGTCCCGGCGGGCAGGACTGCCCCGCAGCGCAGGTCCGGAAGCAGCCACACTGAGGCGGGTTCGCGCACATGTTCCCGCCAGGGCAGGTCTGTCCGGCCGAGCAGGCGGTGGTGGCCCACCCCGGCTGGCCAGGGCATGGCTCCCACCCCTCCTTCACCGTCACGATGCTGGCGCCACTCCCCTCCGAAGACTGGTTCGATCGCAGGGCGGCCCCAGGGGTGCAAACACCGGCGCCGTCGCAATACTGTCCCGGCGGGCAGGACTGCCCCGCAGCGCAGGTCCGGAAGCAGCCACACTGAGGCGGGTTGGCGCACGTGTTTCCGCCAGGGCAGGTCTGTCCGGCCGAGCAGGCGGTTGTGGCCCACCCCGGCTGGCCAGGGCATGGCTCCCATCCCTCATTCACCGTCACGGCGCCGCGGAGCTGAGGCGGCTGCCCCGCCGCCACAGCCGCCATGCCTACAAGCAGCAGGGGGCACCCCATCAGCGCCTGCAAGAGAACAACTTGACGGCTAAGAGCACACAGGGTGTGCGTGATGTGCGGGCAAAGTGAATCGAGTCGACTCAGCCACAACGGATTACGGTACCGCCACGTTCTTGCCAGCGCGAGCCTGGGAAAGCTAGATATAGTCCTCTTCCGCTTGCTGATGTTTGCTGCACAGTGGGGCCTCTGGGGGAGGGGTTCGTCGCCACTGCTGGGTTAGCCTCGAACAGAATCCAGCCAGGACGCGCCTCAGCAAGGGTCGCGAGGCCGATTTCAGGCTGGAGGAAGACGAGGAAGGAGGAGTGCGGAGGACGAGGAGGGCAAGGAGACAAGGAGCGGGAAGGATGAGGTGGAGGACGGGGAGTGGAAGGGATAGTCTGGCTTCCGACGGCCTCCCCGAGGATTTCCTGTGGCATCCTGCCACACTGGCCCTGTTTCCAAATGTCGGGTCGTGGGTGATTACGCCTCCTGGCCCCCTGTGGTTCGCCCCTCCTTTGGTTTCCCTTTTCTGTCGGCGTCGAGCCGTAGGCGCTTGGCCTGCACTGTCCGCCGAACGAAGGAGGTTCCACGGAGACTCCACCAATCAATTGCGGCGGAGCCACGAGCCGACATCCTGTCCTTCCTTACTCCAAAGTTAGGACATCACCTGTGAGTAAGACGCACGCCTGATACCTTGGCTGTGGAGAACACTACAGCAGACGCCTTGCCGAGAAGTGCACCGCCGAATGGGCTGATCTTGGGCCACGAGGGGAGGTATTTGGGGTATCCTTGGAAACCTGTTTGGGTGACGTTGGGCCGTCTCGAGGGCCTCCGAGAGCGATTCGAAAACGATGTTGATCCAAGGATCCCTGCGAAAAGAAAAAACATCATCCCAGTGCGACCCTACCTAGGAGTTGGAACATTTAGGAAAGCAACATCTACATCCACACCGACAGCCACATTTACATCTACATCTGCATCTACATCTACATCAGCATCAACAGCGAGACTCACATCTACATCTACATCTTCACCTACATATACACCTACATCTACATATACACCTACATCTACACCTACATCCACATATACACCTACACATACATCTACATATACATATAGATGTACAATTTCGTATTGGTGTTGCTGTTGCGATGCTATGCTATGATATGCTGAGCTATGCTATGCTATGCTATGAAATGCTTGGCTATGTTATTCTATGCTATGCTGTGCTAATGTTGCGCTGCGCTATGCTGCGCTGGGCTAAGCTGAGCTAAGGTAAGCTAAGCTATGCTAAGCTAAGCTAAGCTGGGCTAACTTAAGCTAAGCTAGGCTAGGCTAGGCTAAGCTAAGCTAAGCCAAGCTAAGCCAAGTCAGCCCAAGCTAAGCTAAGCTAAGCTAAGCTAAGCTAAGCTAAGATGAGATAAGCGAAGTTAAGCTAAGCTCAGTTAAGCTAGGCTAAGCTGCTAAGCTAAGCCAAGCCAAGCCAAGCCAAGTTAAGCTAAGCTAAGCTAAGATGAGATAAGCTAAGTTAAGCTAAGCTAAGCTGGGTGAACCCAGGGGGCGTAATTGGGGGAACCGCGGGGCGGATCCTGGGGGAACCGCCTGGGGCGAGCCCCACTGCCCGGCCCTTTAAACAAACCGAGTAAGAACCCTTCTAGGCAGAGCCTGGGTACTGCAGGTCCGTGCCGTGTCGACCCTGGCGTTGGTTCCTGACACCGCGCTGGATCGTTCAACCTTGAACGATCGGCCGCTGCCGCAACGTCCGATCGTTCAACATCGATCGATTCTGGGTCGCCCGCGGCGTTCAAGGTGGAACGCCGCTGGCGGGGTCGCCGCCGGTCGACACGACGCAAACCTACCGTAGGGAACTAGGGGATCACAAATAATGTTGACATCCTGGGGAACTCGTCCGACGAAACAACACAAGTAGCCAAGCAACAGATAACACTTGAGCCATGCATCCGCCGCCGTGCCGTTGACACGGAGTGGAGTGCCGTCAGGTCCCTTCGAGTCGTGCGCATTGAATGTTAGACACACTCCTCATGGGGCACTATGAGGCGCTCTTGGTCTCCCCCGCGCTATCTGTCCAGAGCCCTCGGGAGCGTGACTCAGCACTCACGTGTCCAGCACGCTCTGAGCTGGCCCCAAGGGATCGTCCTGGGGCTCTTTGGGGGGCGCTGGGCAGCGTGGAGGCCGCGAGGGCTTACCCAAGCGGCTAAAAAGATTGAAGCGACCTACATGCCATACAGGTATGTATGTGTACATGTAGATGAGTGTATCTACAGACATGCATACATACATACAGGCGTGCGCACACATGTCTACACGCATGCCTAAACCAATATGCACGCACGCAAACGATACATGCATGTATGCGTATGTGTATGTCGGTATTTGTGTCCACAGTGTCGCATGTGCATGTGAATAACTGTAAGTCTGTGTAGATGGACCGTGTGTGATAATGGTTGTCGCATACTCGCCGTGCCGATCTTAAGAGCGCTTAAGATGGCCCAGAAGCACCCCAAGACAGCCACAAGAAAAGCCCTCAAAGGGGCCCAAGATGCCCCAAGAGGGGCCCAAGAAGGAAAACATGAATTGGCGTGTCTGCCAGCAGGATCCCGAAAGCCACCCAGGCCTCCAAGAGGCCCCTCGAGAGGCCCCAAGAGACCTCTAAGAGACCCCCGAGATATCGCCAAGAGGCCCCCAATAGACCCCAGAGAGGCCCTCAAGAGACCCCCAAGAGATCCCCAAGACGTCGCCAAGAGGCCCCCAATAGACCCCAGAGGAGCATCAGAGAGGCCCCAAGAGGCACCCAAGAGGCCCCCTGTGCACGACCCAAGCAATAGATCCGCCGCCCCCTGCTGATGTATCAAACGGGTGCCCGGCGTGCTAGTTGTATGATGGTTGTTGGTTCATTGTTTCACTTCCTCTGGGGATTCGGTCCACTGCGCCAGCCACCCAGAAAGCAGCCGAACATGTACCGCCTCCTAGACGGCCGAGATGGCTCAAGATAGCCTCCAGAATACCTCCGAGACACCACCATGACGGCCAAGATGGCCCAAAGAGTATCCAAGATGGTCCAAACATGTTCCAAGACGGCCCAAAGTGCACCCAAGACGGCCCAACATGACTCCAAGATGGCCAAAGACGACCCGAGAGCCCCAAGAGGCCTCCAAGACGGCCCAACAAGCCACCAACCAAAAGGGCCTCCTCGAAGGCCCGACGAGGCCACAACCATTGAGTTCCCATAGGTTTGGGAAGATGCTCGCAATTGCTTCGAAGCGGCCTTCGGATGGCCCAAAACGGCCCAAAAGGCCCACAAGATTGCCCAAAAATCGCCAAATGTATGTGGTATTCCGACGGCCCGAGACGGCCCAAGAGGCCCCAAAGATCGCCCCAAAGTCGCCCCAAACGCCCCGAGCGTTTGGCCACAGAGGCGCTTTTTAAAAAGGCAGGGGCAGCGGTGATTCGCCGCAAGCATCTTCGATCCGCGGCCTCACGTTGCCTGCAAGAGGGGCGATTGGCGCGCCGAGCGATGTCCGTTTGAACCCTTCCAAAATGTTCAACATGGCCTCTGGCTAAACCCGCCGGCCACGCGGGAAAAAACGTCGACCACACGGAAGATCACCCAGACAGTCTCAAGAGGCCTCCGCCTCCTGCTCCTCCTCCACCTCCTCATCCTCCTCCTCCTCCTCCTCCTCCTCCTTCTCCTCCTATTCCTCCTCCTCGATATCCTTTTCTCTCTTCCTTCCCCACGTGTTCTCCAGGGAAGTCCACCGCGGTTGGGGGACACACATGTTCCAATGGCTTGGCCAAGCTTTGGCCCCAAGCGTTTGGCCACATCGGCTTTCCCAGGAAGGCAAGGTGCGGCGCTGATTCACCGTAGGCGTCTTCAATGAGCCGCCTCCTCCTGTTTGGCTAGATGCGCTTGGCGAGCCAGACTTTCGAACGCGTTTTGGCCCTTCCAACAGTGGCCTTTCGGTCGATCCCAGGGGCCACTCCGAAAGAACTACTAAGGAGCTTCCTTCTGCTTCCAAGACGCCCAAAATAGCCCCGAAGATGGCATCCAAGACGATCCCACGACGCCCGCAAGACGGCCAAGATGGCCCAAGAGAAGCCAACATGGCCCAAAGATGCCTCCGAGACGGCCCAAGTTGACCCCAAGACGAAATGGCTCCAAGTGGTCTTGCAGGAGGGCCCGAACAAGCCAATCCAATTGATGCGCCTCCAGTGTTCGAAGGATTTGAGCGTTCTCGCCCCCCTGGGCTTCCAACAACCCAAGACCCCAAGAAGGTCCGGAAAACTCCAAGAAGGGTCCCACGACAGTTGGGGGAACGCACAGCTTGGCCAGACGTTGGCACAACGTTTGGCCACACAGGCGCTTGCAGAAGGCAGGGGGCGGCGGTGGTTCGCCGTTAGTTTCTCCGATAAGTTCGCCGAACACTTGGTTTGCGGGTAACCTCGCCGCGAGAGGACCCACAGGAGCTGCCCAGAGGCCCGCGACGTCCCCACAAGGAGGGCCCTGCAGGCCCCCGATGGGACGGGAGACTCTGAAGGTCACGGAGACCAATCCCTGAAAGACCCCTGGAGGCCCATTCCCCCCCCCTCCCCCGCCGCTTCTCGCCCCCCTCTTCCCGTCGGGTGGATTCACTTACCTTCTGAATGTCCTGCCTCTGTAGCGCATGGCCGAAGGCCATGGCAGTCTGCAAACACATGCACTGTACTGCGCCAGGATCGCGCGCTGTTGGCGCCTGGCAGGAATGAAACGCATAGATAACTCCAGCCTGCGACCTGGCAGTGCGTGGCCAGGCGGCTGCCGGCAAGCCATACCTGTAAGATTGCACAACGATGCGTGCACTCGCGGGCCCGAGTATCCAAACCCCGCTTGCCTGGGGGGGAGGCGCACGAGGCATTCGACCGTCTCCCCTCCTTTCCCCATCCTCGGGGTCCAAAATCACGTTTGAGGGGAGGGCCCCCTGGCGCATTTGCCG